TATTGTATATATATATATATATATATATATATATATATATATATATATACATATCTTTATATATCTTTGTTAGTGTATTCTGGATTGGGGGAAACGGTATTTCGATCTCTCTGTCTGAACACACAAACTGGAAGATTGACAATACAGTTGACTTTGATACCTGACGTGTAACTCAGCACCATTAAGTCAAACGTTACATATTGTGCTGTTGACATTAAGCCAGTCCAAGTTTCTAGATTTAAACATGTGAGAAATGTCTCTGGTAAAACAACAAATCATCTTCAGGAGTGTCTGAGTCTCACCCTCTCTGAAGGAGCCTCCGGAGCTCNTGCCTGTCTGGCCATCGTAATCGGACTCCTTGAAGATCCACAAATCCTTAAATTTCTGACCGGATTAGTGTAGTGTATTGTGTAGTTTATTTATGGCATCCCGTTGGGTTTAACGTCATCTGAACAGGACATCGCACGCTCACTGCTTGATAGCGCGCGAAGGTCCGTTTACGCCGGTTGCTAAGCAACATCGTTATGGGGAAATGCAAGTCTGCGTCCAAATGGTTGGAAGATAAGGAGGAAAGACAATCAATACTGTATATAGTCAATGTGAGGTCAAGTGTGTCGCCAAGGTAACCGGTTAAAACTCAAAGTGGCGATGAGGTCTTCAAATGTATGGAAAGGGTCTTAAAAAAGCTCTTAAAAGGTTTTACATTTGACTTCAGGATTCCTGCGTATACCCTGGACACTCCTTATGCCGGCTGGGAAGCACCTCATGAAAAATACAAAGAAAGAATGAAATAAAAACATACTGATCTATATTGTGTTTCCCCTAAATCTGCTGCAGAGATTGACAGGTACCTGCTGGAGTTTAGGGGCGGGACCTTCCCTCTGTCGGCCATCAGCTCCTATAAAGGAAGAGGAGAAGGAGGAGGAAGAGGAGGAGGAGGAGGAGGTGGAGGAGGGAGGAAGGGGCGGGACAGTGGGAAGCTGAGGCGCTCCAACACCAGCCCCCGGAAGAAGGGAGGGACCCCAAACTGGAGCTCCGGAGGCTCCTTCAGAGAGGGTGAGACTCAGACACTCCTGAAGATGATTTGTTTTACCAGAGACATTTCTCACATGTTTAAATCTGGAANTTTAGCGAAAATGAAGGATATTAAAAAGTATTAAAGGGCATTTTCCAAGGTGTTACATTTTGTAGCTTGTTTTCAATAAGTATATCAATCGTCAAAAGACTCTTTTGACGATTGATATACTTATTGAAAACAAGCTACAAAATGTAACACCTTGGAAAATGCCCTTTAATACTTTTTAATATCCTTCATTTTCGCTAAATTGATTTATCAACTTTTAATACTTTTTAAGACCCCGCGGACCCCCCGAGTGTCCTTTGCTTTCGGTACTTTAAGCACACTTTGATGCTATTACTTTTGGATTTTTACTGAAGTTAGATGTGGAATAGGGACATTTACAAGTAAAAAAGTACAAGTAGTAAGTAGTGGTATTAATACTCTGTCTGCAGCTAAATTACTTACATTTTGAAGTTGGGACTTTAAAAGACTAACAAATGAATGTCATAGTAAGTAACTATACAAGACTCATAAGAGCCAGAAAGGAAATCATAAAATATGTACAGCCTGCAATAGATGAGAGAACACGAGTCCCTTCTGGGTAAAAATGACAGCTCCGCCCACTTTTGGGGGAAAATAACGCTGTCATTTGAACGGCGGTCAATTCAAATTCTGAAGTTTTTGCCAATCCGGTCAGAAATTTAAGGATTTGTGGATCTTCCAGGAGTCAGATTACGATGGCCAGTCAGGCAAACAATTACATTAAGCCATTGGAAATCGACGATCGGGCTCGATATATGGTTCCATTAAAATCAGTAGGCGATCGATGTCCATAGATGAGAGTCAAATCTAGCTGGCGAAATTACAGCCTCGCCTACTGATTTGAATTTAACCATATATCGAGCCCGATCGTCGATTGCAAATGATTGAATGTAATTGTTTGCCTGACTGGCCATCGCAATCGGGCTCTTTGAAGATCAGAAAGTCCACGGTAACTTCAGAATTTGTATGTTGTTTTCCCCCAAAAGTGGGCGGAGCCGTACTTTTTGAAAGGAAGTGACTCATTTATAAAAAAATCTAAAAACCTGTATGTCAAAAGTAAAAGAAATAAAAGTTTGTACAGAAATATATATAAAAAAGCACTGAATGCCCGAAAAAATGTAGTCTGTCATCAAAATAAAATCACAACAAATGCATTATGTGCACTAAAAAAGCTCAGTTTGTACCAGAGTATTTGTACACAGTAGTATAAATACTTTTCTCCGCCTGCAGCTGCACTTTGAATGAAGGACTTCTTCGTGTACCCGAGTATTTGTACACAGTATTATAAGTACTTGTTCTCACCGTGTCTGGGCAGAGGGCAGCCCTGCAGCACGGCCTTGTTGACGAGGATGCTGAGAGCCGCCTTCACCACGGCCTGTTGCCCGGCGCTGAGACAAGTGTTGCTAAGAGACGGTCTCTGCGACGACGTTGAGGATGTAGAGGTGGTTGTCGAGGAGCGTCTGGCCGTTACCCGGGCGATAACAGCTTCCTCCACGCGGGGGACGACCACGGCGTTCCAGAGCCGGGACAGCCACCTGAACACACAGATATATATAAACGTTATTAAAAAGGTCAGAAAAAAGTTTAAGTATAGTTTATAAATAATGTGGAAATATATATAAAATGTACAAAAATAAATAGATATAATCGTATCATTTTTTTGTATTTAAATAGTTTGTATGTCAACATAAGAATAGCAGTTAATCATTTTATTAGTCATAATATAGTATGTTAAAAATGTTTGTTTAAAAAAGATAATAAATGTACACTATGCAATAAAACTATGTAAGAAAATAAGAATTCATACTTTGTATAAAATATGTCGTTATAATATGTCAAAATATAAAGATAATTAAAATGTCGAATTTACTATAATGTAAAGTTTAATTTGCCGCAAAAAATCATCAAGAAGTCATGGTAAAAAAAGATTGAAAAAGATGCTTACTATGCCAAAAAATACTTGAAAACATTTGAATTATGCCACAAAAAAACATTTACTAAGTTTAGTTTGTGATTGAGAAAACTCTTAACATGTCTCTGGATCTTACAATAAACCAAAAATATCTTAAAGTATGAACTGGTCGCCAACTATAACAACTTTAAGAAGATACGAATGGGTCGGGACAGGAGTGACATGTTCCATCTGTGCTGGTTGTGTTTACAGGATGCATCAGAGACTCACCTGATGACGGCATGTGTGCTGCCGGGCAGAACAGGACAGGACAGGAAGAGCTGGGGACCAATCAGAGCCTCAGGGGTCCCGAGACGAGACAGACAGGCGTTCAGCTGCTGCCACACGTCCCTCACCCACAATACAGAGCTCTGAAGGGGGGAGGAGGGGGAGGGGAGACAGGACCCCGTCTATAGGAGAGAGGAGAGGTTTTTAAAATCCCTTTCATTAAACTATTGCACTTTCAGCCATTTTGACCTCATCCCTTGAGGGAAGGAAACAACAAACAGAAATAAAATACAGAAAACACACAGCCAATAAACAATCATGAGAGGAGGAAAGAGGAGAGAGGACAGGAGAGGAGAGAGGAGAGGAGAGAGGACAGGAGAGAAGAGAGGAGAGAGGAAAGAGGAGAGAGGAGAGAGGAGAGAGGAAAGAGGAAAGAGGACAGGAGAGGAGAGGAGAGAGGAAAGAGGAGAGAGGAGAGAGGAGAGAGGAAAGAGAAGAGAGGAAGGAGAGGAGATAGGAGAGAGGAGAGGATGTATCTGTTCTGCTGATTTACTAACAATGAAAACTCAACAGCAGGGAACATCTGTCCTCTGCATCTGGACCCCCCCCCCCTCACCTTGTGGATCAGCTTCCTGCGGAGGTGTCTTCCCAGCATGCCTTGCAGCGGCTCCTGATCCCAGCGCAGCGTCACCCAGCGGAAATGCTGCTGCAGCCTCAGCTCGGGGCCCTGGAGGCGGGGCCTCGACAGCGTGCCAATCAGGAAGCTGCTCTCAGAGAAGTGGTGCGGACCTGAGGGGGGGGGGGGTTAATAATAACCTGGTCACTATCCATGTTTTATGCTCTAAAACTCACCCCTTTTTCCCATCTTTCATCAAACTCTCTGTTATTTTCTCCTTTTCTTACATTTCATTTACTAGATTCTTCCATTGTCAGTTGATTACATTACATTGCATTTAGCATACCTTTTTGATTATCTGGTTTTATAAGATGACATTTAGATGCAATATAACTTAAAGTCACATCCGTTAGAGAAGGACGTTATGCCGTCAACAAACCGCCAACATACGATAATGTGCAGGTGCAAGTACGAGTGAAAGGATACCTGCAGTCGAACCTGTGTTCATCTGAATATGTGATATTAGCAGCAGTGTATTAATGTGTATATGTGATATATGATGTACCTCTATTAATGTGTATATTAGATATTAGCAGCAGTAGTACCTGTATTAATGTGTATATGTGATATATGATGTATTCATCTGTATAGTATATATTAGTAGTAGTACCTGTGTTCAGATGTAGCGGAGCCCCAGACCCCCGGCTGTCCAGGCTGAGGCAGAGATCTCCCATCAGGCCGCTGAGAGACGAGGCTCTCTCCAGACCCTCGAGCAGAACCAACACACAGCGAGAGCCAGACCCCCCCGCAGGCACCAGGAAACCTGCAAAGGAGGAGAGGACGTGTTATGATCGATGAGATGATGGCGTCATATTTTCTACGTCATATTTTACATGTTTTGTGACGTTTTCAGTGACTTTGAGACTGATTAGTAAACTTGTGTGTGTGTGTGTGTGTGTGTGTGTGTGTGTGTGTGTGTGTGTGTGTGTGTGTGTGTGTGTGTGTGTGTGTGTGTGTGTGTGTGTGTGTGTGTGTGTGTGTGTGTGTGTGTGTGTGTGTGTGTGTGTGTGTGTGTGTGTGTGTGTGTGTGTGTGTGTGTGTGTGTGTGTGTGTGTGTGTGTGTGTGTGTGTGTGTGTGTGTGTGTGGTTGTGTGTGTGTGTGTGTGTGTGTGTGTGTGTGTGTGTGTGTGTGTGTGTGTGTGTGTGTGTGTGTGTGTGTGTGTGTGTGTGTGAGTGTGTGTGTGTGTGTGTGTGTGTGTGTGTGTGTGTGTGTGTGTGTGTGTGTGTGTGTGTGTGTGAGAGTCAGTGTGTGTGTGTGTGTGTGTGAGTCAGTGTGTGTGTGTGTGTGTGTGTGTGTGTGTGTGTGTGTGTGTGTGTGTGTGTGTGTGTGTACCACAGCTGATGAAGGTCTCCAGCAGCTGCTCTTTGGTCAGACTCTCGTCGACCTCCACCCTCACCACGTCACAGCCGAGCCCCCCCACATCCTGCTTTGACTGGAGGAGAGAGAGAGAGGAAGAGGAGGAAGAGGAAGAGGAAGAGAGGTGAGACGGGAGCACGTTGCCATGGAAACAAAGGAAGTCTACTACTACTACTATTACTACAGTTGTGCAGCGGGAGGAGAATGTGAATGAGAGGAAGCTGCTAGATCTCTCCTCTATTTCTGTATAACTGCTGAAATGTATCAGTATAACACATATACACAATTATAGGTTATTAATAAAACATTCATACTAATTAATTAATTAAAAATAAATTAACATGTTAAGTCCCTTAGCTGGCTTCTTTGTACTAACTACATATTATTCCTATAACAGATCCTACTCCCTTCTCTTACCTCCTTCATACTGTTTAAAAAAACATTGTGAGATTATTATATAGAATATCAATGAAACAAAAGACAGTTAATCCCTCTGAGTCCTAAGTGATGGCCACAATACCGGATCATAACTTTTATTTATTTATTTATCTGACCGTCGTGAAACATGCAGGCTTGTTCAATTGGAATAAAATCAATGGGAGAAAATATGAATTGTATGAACAGTGTTTAGATTTTGTGAGTGAGTTATCCCGACCTGTAGATGCACCGAAGCAGAATGGATTTTCCTCTGCTTAAGTTATGTATGAAAGTATTCATGATAATCAAAACAAATACTGACATGCAAATAATGTTGTGTGCAAGGCCTGGAAGTCCTATTTTTATTGCATTTGTAGAATGTATTTAAATGTACATATGCCTAGATAGTATCCCTGTCAAATAAATAAAGACACTACTTTTGATTAATTCAATTCGCTTATGGGAGCAGGTGAGGAAGAATTTGCCCTGTATTCTATGATGTTTTAAAGGTGAGGTATCATGCTATTGTTAGGCAATAGCATAGGTCTCAGATGTTTAAGAATATATAAAAAACATGTCTATGAAGTGTTTTGCTCAAAATACCAAACAGATCACCCATTCTAGCCATGCCTCATATCCCTCTATTTCACTTCCTGTTTCAAAAGTGCTGATTTGGGGTATAAAGCTTAAAAAACAAAAGAGGAGGGGTCTGAGCTCATGCGGGACCCGGCAGCTACTGTCTAAACTAAATGCTGCCGTGATGAAACGCCATATCATGGATTATCAAGGATTCTCTCTGAAACAGTATGGAGCTCAAAGGCTTTCTCTCTTGCCGGTTATACCACAAGGTGAGTTCCTTTTTACTTCCTGCTTCTTCACACACATGCTCTCCAGTACAGGTTAGCTCTGAGTGTTAGCGATGCTAATGTAAACACCGACCATATTACGTCCAAAACAGTCGGGCATTGTTTCTGATAGCAACGTTTCTGATAGGGCCGTGGGTCCACATTTCAGATATTACGTCATATCGGACGCAAATCTGGATCAGCTCCGTTGTTCCCCCGTTTTTAGAGATTTGGGTACGGAGGAAAAGAGATAGGGTTTTATTTTCTGACGCTGCGTGAGTTATGTATAAAAGACATCAAAAAGTGCATTTTGCATGATAGGTCCCCTTTAAAGGTTTTATTGGTAGCTATTAGTGGAACATGTCACTTCCATGTTGATGTTTCTCTCATTTGCATTTGAGATGGATATTTATCTTATGTATGTATTTCTCCATCATTAAAGGCCTTAAAGCTTCCTGGATGAGCGTTTAGTGAACGCACCTTGATGCAGCGAGCCACCAGGTTGGCGATGAACTCCAGACAGCTGCCCTCCAGCCCGTGGAAGATCAGGTTTCCATACTGCTCCACCTGAGAGAGGACAGGGGGGGTTAGTGGATCCAGAACTAGTCCTGCACTGTTATCTGTTTTATTTGTTCTATGTCCTATACAGTGGCGGTTCTAGAACATTTGACATGCGGGGGCAAAGGGGGGGCTAGAGGTCATGCCAGGGTGGCGTGGGAGGGCGGACCGTACGTGGTATTTTATACTGTATAACCTATNGGGGGGGGGCTGTGACATCATCAGGAAGTGAGGATGTGAGCAGGTAGGCTTTTATCCTCAAACCAGCTTCCAGTAATCATTCCCCCACCTGATTAACTCTGGGATGTCGAGCTTTGATTTCCCAGAACAGCTTCTTATTACAGACAGGTTTTTCTGGAGCTGCATCGTATTAATTATTCCTGTGTGAAAGAGACTTTTGTAAATCCTATCGTCTTCTCTGGTCTTTTGAAATGCAGGTGTATAGCGTTTAAAGAAAGATAGCGCTTGTAGTTCTGCGAGGAAAATAGGTCACACCTAGAGGAATTTGCTTTTGGAGCCATTTCAAATGTGGTTCAGTTTGATCAGCGGAAGTCTTTATGATCACAAATCAATGGAGCAAGCTTCCTTTTGCAGCAGCTTCTCTTTGTTTCTGCACCAGACTCTGTCCTCACTGCCCACAGACTGCAACACACACAGTATGTGACGCACAATGTGCAAACACCTTGTGAGTGCATAGGCTGCTATAGTATGTTTAAATGATGGGGGGATCAGAGCCCCCTGCCTGTGAAATTGCATATGAGCTATTCAAGGAGCACGGGATATTATTTAATAACTTTAATAACCTACTTCAGATTGGCAATCAGTATGATGTGGTGTGTGTGTGTGTGTGCGTGTGTGTGTGTGTGTGTGTGTGTGTGTGTGTGTGTGTGTGTGTGTGTGTGTGGGCTTGTGTGTGTGTTTGTTTGTCTATGTTTGTGTGTGTGTGTGTGTGAGTGTCTGTGTGCATGTGTGTGTGTGTGTGTGTGTGCGTTTGTATGTGTGCGTGTGTGTGTGCGTGTGCGTGTGTGTGTGCGTGTCTGTGTGTGTGTGTGCGTGTGTGTGTGTGTGTGTGTGTGTGTGTGTGTGTGTGTGTGTGTGTGTGTGCGCGCGGGCACGTGTCAAAACAGGCCGTGAGTAATGCAGCCTGGGGTTCACTCTCCCTGTGGAACATTCAGAGAAACACACACACACACACACACACACACACACACACACACACACACACACACACACACACACACACACACACACACACACACACACACACACACACACTAAACCTATGGAGTGACATAGTTCTTCACTTAACCCAAATTCAGTCATGGGGAATGGGAACATTTGGCCTGACATAAAGACACACATACTCAGCCATGCTTAAATCCTCGCTCTCACACAAACATGAAACATGCATATTAATCTGAAGGTGGTTTGGATAGTGTCTCACCCATGAAAGAAAAGCCTCCCATGGTGCTGCATTCAGTGTTTAGTAGAGCGTGGAATCGTCCAAACCTCAGAGAAAAAGCAATTCTAGGTGTGAGATGTGAGAAATATGGCAGGCAAATTGTGAGACTGCTGCAGAAAATACAGATGTGGGTTGCAGGCGGCATGCATTATTTCAGAGGCTGCTGTCTCTGCAGATGATTCCTTTAAGCAGTGATGCACAGAACTTAACATCAGGCATCACTAATAGGCAATAAGTGTTACGATTTTCACCTGGCAGCTGATTCGGATAAGACTTGAAAGTAGATTTTAAGACAAGTAACCAGAGCAGTAAGCATTTCAAAAGCCACAGGGGTAAAATTAGTCATTTGTCAAGGTTCATTCAGAACTGTGCTGCTACCCCTAAATACATTTCCAAATGCAAGTGTAGAACGTTGCGCTCTAATGGTGAGAACATTGGCGTATCTTTATGCAATATTGCTTATAGGCTGAGTTTATTGTTCAGCAACATGAAAACACAGGCGCTCACAATGATTAATAATAAAGATAATGTTATAGCAAATGACATAGACACTATACATGCGTACCTGAAAGCATCTGCAGTATATAAAGAATGTATTTCTAAAAGTACGTATAGGAAATAATGCAATATAAAGATTCAAAAAGCAATATGATTTCAAAAACCCTGCTCATATGGTCATTATGTCTGCATCTCAATTATTAATGAGGGCTTCCATTAGCAGACGGAGATGGCTGTGTTCACACCTTTTTTCAAACCTGATTTACAGCTAATTACAAATGGCCACCATGGAACATAAATCTAGCGCCTCTCTAGAGACTCATTGTGTCCTCAGTGGCATTACGGCACTTCCACTAACAGGCCTGCCATCACTATACCGTATGAAGTGGGAGAAATAATGGCTTATAATGAATGGTAAATATCTGAAAATATATATAACTTTGGTGATAGTATATGTCCCTGTTTGTTATTAAGTGAATGTATTCATAAACATCTTCAAGTGATTGCAAATGGAACTAAGTCTGTAAATAATTCAGTCAAATTCACTCTTTTGCACTATTCTGTGATACTTAACGCTGTTACACGGCTTAGTTGAATACTAGATGCTGATTGGTCAATTCCAAACATGTGGTCTGCTCTTCTATGTTAACAGACTGCTGCTAAGGATAAAAGACTGTTGCTAGGATAACAGACTGTTGCTAAGGATAACAAATTGTTGCTAAGGATAACAGACTGTTACTAAGGATAACAGACTGTTGCTAGGGATAACAGACCATTGCCATGATCAAGGGACTGTGTGCAGTCATATCAATACGCAAAAAAAAGTTCCGTCATTTTAACGTCAGCTGTGTTTTTCCATTGAAACACCATGGGATAGATTTCTAATATTTATTTGTATATTTATAGAGAGAACAAAGATGTGAATTGAGGATGGCTAAACTGTCCCCAGAACAGAAAAGAGAAAAAGAACAAGAAAACAAAAAGAAAAGGAAATATGTTCAAGTACAGATAACTGGACGATAGACAAAACATAAGAAGACAGACAGGAAGTAACTTAAGGTTTATTTAGATTATCGTGCAATACGCAGAATAATTAGCAATGAGCCGGTCAATAATGAAAAAATACAAAACCGTCAGGGTAAGCACCTCTTTGTATATAATGATCTGATACAACATTTATTCTTGATTCAGTACATAGTTGTGTAATTTGTCCATCTACTCCAGTGCAATGCACTCTAATAAAGGCACTGTGGGAAATTATAGCATGAAGACTATAAAATGTGGTCGTGGTTTTCATAGAAATTGCTTTTACAAGTGGAATCAAATTGATTATTTATTCCCAGGCTTATATAAACTGTCTGGTGTTTGTTTGCATACATCTGGCTTCTACTGTGCTGCACAATACTCTGCAGTCAGACACTGAAGGCAGTCTGTGCTGTGGTACAGTGGGCAGACAGACAGAGAGACAGAGAGACAGACAGACAGACAGACAGACAGACAGACAGAGAGATAGATAGATAGATAGATAGATAGATAGATAGATAGAGAGACAGATAGACAGACAGACAGACAGACAGACAGACAGACAGAGAGACAGACAGAGAGAACAGACAGACAGAGAGAGAGAACAGACAGACAGACAGAGAGAACAGACAGACAGACAGAGAGACAGACAGACAGACAGAGAGAACAGACAGACAGACAGACAGAGAGACAGACAGACAGACAGACAGACAGACAGACAGACAGACAGAACAGACTATTAAACAGAGAGAAGGAGAGAGGAAAGAGAGTGAGGATGGATTGGGAGAGAGAGAGAAAAATGGCTGCATGGAGCCACAGAGGGCTGCAATATACTGGGATTGTATTGTGCTGAAATTGGTGGTAATGGCAGGACATATATCAGCTTGACACATTCACTGTTACAACTCTTACACACACACACACCACTCACACACACACACACACACACACACACACACACACACACACACACACACACAGACTTTAAAGTTTGCCATCAGAATTACAAATGGGGTTTCTCTGCATGGCTGTCCAGGAATATGTCGCTATTCCTATATTCAAAAATGATCACTTTCCCAATTACTAGACAGGGGTGGAAGAGGTACTTACAGTAAGAAGAATTACCAATGCATGGCAGTCAAAATACCTTTACTGGATGTGTCAAATGTAAGAGTACTCATTCTGCAGGAAAAATCTGGATTTGTATTTACTCAACTAAATGGACTATTTAATTATGTTAGACTACAAACCAACAACTAAACAAACATTTCAGCAGCTTCCATAGCATTCAATTGGAATACTCAAGTTAAGCACAAGTACTTCATTATTGTACTAAAGTAGAATACTTAGTAAATGTACTTAGTTACGTTCAACCACTGTCACCAGATATGAAAACTATTCTCTGCCCAGCTGTTCTCTAAATAGTTGTATACAGTACATTCATCCCTATATCTGTCTATCTGCCTGTCTATACCTAGCCTGTAGACACACACACACACACACACACCAGAGTCAGTAGTGTGTGTAGATGCTCCAGATGGAAGGATGGCCTCCTCTCACCGATCATTGCCCACGGCTGCTCCCTCTTTCTCTCTCTCTGCATCAGCTATCTGTGATTAGAAGCACGCCTCAAGGGAAACACACACACACACACACACACACACACACACAGACTTTCTTACAGTATGGAAGCTTTTTGGCACACACACATAGACACGTTTGTGCTTATACGCTGAATGCCCATACAAAAGCACCACAGAGTGAGTACGTGAACACACACTTTGTCCTGTGCCCTCTGCGTGTCTCGGCCCGTCTATCAGACACGAAGATGACGGTTAATTGGACGATATGTAAATTATGCAGGGTATGTAATTAGGGGCTCTCCATAATGCATGACGGTGAGTCCATTCAGTCAGCTCTTTGTCCGCCGATGAGGAAATATTGTGTTTTGAATGTTGAGACAAGACCGCACAACACCATGAAGCAAAGATTAGGCTTGCTGTTGGAGGCAATTAACCAAAGTGGTGATTAACCATGTATATATGAAATATTCATTGGATGATTACCATGAGGAATTAGGTATGTTGGTAGGCATGAGCAGCGTATCAGTTTCAGATCCACATGGATCAGCTTTAATAGAATATTACAACAGTGTTTAGTCTGGCCTCCAGCAGAACACTTCAGGACATGGATCCGTAGATACTGTTCACTGACGGCATTTTCTTTATGTCCAAGGGAAATACACAACTAAAGGCTGAGAGAAATAGCACTGAGTATGGATGGTTGCTATTCATTTAACTGAAGGAAAGAAGGAAAGAAAAATTCAGATTTTAAGAAAATGCTCCTTTTGTCTGAGGAATATAATAGAAAGATAATTGATTCACAGTTCATACTTCGTATTGTAAAGTGTTGAACATGTTATGTTTATTTCTAAGGATTTCGATCTCTTCACACAACTGTTGCCTGGCAACATCAGTGTCAGGACCTCGACACAAACTGATGAACCCAAATGCACGACCCAGAGACAAAGTATTGAATATTTATTTATACAGTTCAGGTAATAATAATAATAATAATAAATTCGATTTATAAAGCACCTTTCATTCCTCACAGCAATCCCAAGGTGCTACAGGAGGCATAATAAAAACAAACAAAATAAACAAAAGTTTAATCAAAAGCTTTTTTAAAAAGAAAAGTTTTTAAGCCTTTCTTGAAGGCGTCAGTGGTCTGTGGAGTCCTCAGGTGGTCTGGGAGGGAATTCCACAGGTGAGGAGCAGCTGCACAGAAAGCCCGATCCCCCATTGTGCGGAGTTTGGTCCTCGGGGGGGCGAAGCCGATGGTTGGTTGTGGAGCGGAGGTTGTGTGTGGAGGTTTGTGATTTGAGAAGTTCCTTCAGGTATGGAGGAGCGTTCCCGTGGATGCATTGATGGGTCAGTAGTGCGATCTTGTATTCGCTCCTGAATGAGACAGGAAGCCAGTGGAGGGAATGAAGGACGGGTGTGATGTGGCTGTATTTTCTCACCCTCATCAGGATCCTAGCGGCACTGTTCTGTACATATTGGAGCTTCTGAATGCTCCCGCTAGGAGTCCCGATGAGGAGAGCGTTGCAGTAATCGAGCCTTGAGGAGACAAAGGCATGGACCAGTTGTTCAGCACCTGACAGGGAGAGTGTGGGACGGAGTTTTGCAATGTTCCTGAGGGTGTTAGAAGGAGGTTTTGCACAGGTTGTTTGACTGTGGGTGTCAAAGGTCAGATGTCGGTCCAAATCTAACACCCAGGGTGGTATGTGTGGAGAGGGGGTATGTTTTGTCCAGAAAAGGTAATGTGGGTTATGGGGGATGACTGACCTGGTTGGTGTGCCAACTAAATAGCTTCTGTTTTGGAGCTATTTAGTTGCAGTAAGTTTCTCGCATCCAGAACTTTATTCTCCCTCAATGCAGGTGTTAGGATGTTTCATGGGAGCGGTGACGGATGATGGGTGACAGTGAGGATGCATGTGGGGGATAGAGCTGTCTTTATTAGAGCTGTGTGTCATCCAGTGTAGCCAATGGAATGATAACTTTCCTGCTGGCTGGATGACACGGCCAAGGGGAAGAGTGTACCAAATGGTGAACAGATTGGCCGAGGACCGGCGACCCTTGAGGACCCACAGGTGGACAGGGGTGTGCCTGGACCTCGCACCTCCCAAGGGGAGACGTACTCTGTTTTCAGACAGGTAGGACTGGAACCAGCTCAGGCGGAGACGAGAGTCCGATGGTGTCGAGGCGCTGGATAAGGAGGATGTTATGGTCGACAGCTGTCGAATGCTGCAGTCAGATCCAGGAGGATGAGGAGAGATGGGATCCAGTTCAGCTTGCCATCAACAGGTCGGTTTGTGACCCTGACCAGAGCTGTTTCGTGCTAGTGGGCGGAAACGAAACCGGACTGGGAATTTTTCAAAGAGGCCTTTTAATTGTAGAGTAGGTGGGTAATGCCTCTAAAGAATAGGGGTGGAAATAACGAAAGCGTAAGACAAAAGAGGACGTTAATAAAAAACTTAAGCCTGAGAAAATAAACAAACATACAAAACCTGACATGAGAGAAGCAATCCTTTGCCGGTTGAGGCTTGGCACGGCCATTCGGAGGAAACAAACAAGAAGAACTGACACAGGGACAGGGAGAGACAGGACTATTTAACATGAGGTGAGTGGGAACAAGTGGAANNGGTGTAGGGAGGGCACAGGGTTAGGAGGTCAAACTGAAATGCAACACCCACAAAATGTATTCAAATCCCTGATTTGATCGTGAGGATATACACTGTGAGGCAGAAAGAAGTTGACATCACATTAACACACATTCTCGTCCGAGGGGCCAAAGGAGGTCAAATGATTTTCAGAAGGTTAATTCAAAAAGGTTTTGATGAATGAATATACCTGAATAAAAGAAAGCAAACACACAGTGACATGTTCGCAAACAGAAATCTAAAAAGCAAACAAAAAAGGGACGAAAGCTGATGACTCGGATTTAACAACAGCCACCTGCTGGATTCATATTTATTGAAACAGATGTCCCAATCAACCTGAGATCAAGTGAAGGCCTTGTACATGTCAAAATGTTCAAGAAAATAAGCATAAGACAATAAGAAACATGAGTTGTTTAACATTTAGAAAAACTAGTTGGGTATCAATAATGAACGTTAAGAAGAACTTTACCATTTAGTCCATATGTTTTGAACACAGACTTGAACAATTGTAATTTATTATTACAGGGTTAAAAGACATGAGAACACATCTGGAAAGATAATGTTATTTCCATGGCTGTGTTGTAGAGTCTAGCTAACGCAAGCTTGACACCGAACCTCTTGTTTTGACCTTGCAGGGAAGAAACACAGACTTAGTGTATTATCTACAATGTCATTCAAAACATCTGTCAAGCACTGCAGGTGTATTTAAACTGTATTCAGGGTTACATTTTGAGGCTGTTGAGCGGAGAAAACGTTATTAAAAAAATAATTCAGACAATCTGCTCATTTACAATGGATTTTTGCTTTTCTGTTTTGAATACTTTTATGTCACCTATACCGCTAGAATCCGGTCCTCCTATATTTTCAATGTGCTGAGTTTCATGCTCCAAGTCCAAATATGTCCCTTTTTTTTATTTGGATAATCATGTAATATTTATACTCGATAAACAAAAGAAGGAAAACAAACTCCTAAGACAGTAACCCTGGGGTGTGGAATTATACAGTAAACAATGAAAATATAGTTACCATGTCTTAATTGACTTCCGGCAGTTTGCCAAGGCATGCGTTGCGAGATGTCAGACGAAATTAGTGGGAGGACACCCGCGCTGATATGACCACGCCGCAGGTTTTGGAATCCTACAACAGCATCGTAAATCCTCCACAAGAACACCAAACAGTGAGAATTGTTGTCTAAGAATCCCACTCGGCTTCAGTTTAGAGCGTGTAATGTGTGAAAACATGCGTTTGCAAGTGTGTGGGAGATGTGAATCAGTGCAACTACTGTCCAAAAGTCTGGGGGATGTTGTTGTTGTTGCTACTGTTACAGTTTTTCAGGGGTCATTACTCTCCTCTTGGCTGTTGCTGCAACAGAGACTTGACTTGAAGCATTTTGAAAAGTAGAAAAGCGCTCATGACATGTTCCCTGGCAAATTAGGGCCAGTTTAGTTAAAAGCAAATATATAATTATAGAGCAATACAGGGTAACATTTAAAGAAAAAAACTTGAAAAATATTAAAGATTAAAGTCATTACCTAGAAAGTTCAGATATTCTTTGAAATTGAGTAGGAAAATTGGCTAGAAATAATCCCAAATTTACTTAGAGATAAATATTTTAGGACATTATAGAGTAAGGTTATTCTCTCAGCTAAGGTCACAAACTTACAAGATGTTTTGGGGGGGAATTTTCATCCAAAAACAACATCTTTTTTTATTTTTGTTTTGGACCGTTAGACATCACACAACATTTCTTGAAATCATAAAACTATGGGCTTTTTTTGGTTGATTTAAGGATTTATCAATGAAACGAGAAATTAATCAGCAAATTAATTTACGTAAAAAAAGTAGCTTAATTTCTTTTAAAGGAATATGTGCAGATGCCAACCCCATTCCTTACAAATTGTACTCTATATATCACATTAACAATTATATTTCCGACTTATAATGTTATGCATAATCCCAGAGCAGGCCCCTCCTCCTTATTGTGCTGTGAAGGTCGTTCAGGGATTCAAGGTTTATCTAAGCTGTCTAAATTCCTAAATGTAACCATTCTGCTTGAAACTAATACACACAATACACTTACTGTGAATGTGCTCAGAGTCGATGCTTTTTCCTCAAAATGTAATGGAGCAAATGAGTTGCATATGAATGTAATTTGTTCAGATACAGTTGAAGTGCCAGCTTTCATTGGAGCTACTTTCCATTACACACGGAGAATTAGATCACAAAGAATAGAGAGAGAACGTGAAAAGAGCAGAGGAAAAAGTCATTCAATATGACCTCATCAGGAGGAAGAAGCCGACTTTTTTTGCTTTTAATGCTGATTCAACTCACCATGGAGGACTGTTTGCAATATTTGCTGCTCTTGTAGCACATGAATAAAATGACATATTCCAAGTTTTACTCATGAAGGATGAAATATACTTTTGTTCATGAATCAATTCTTGTTGGCACGTGTTGTGTCAACTTTCAAGCTTTCTTTATCTCTCCATTGAGACCTTCCTTAATGGCCACCATAAGAGGGCATTTAACTTCTTGGCAAGGCTCTCTGATTATTGTCGGAGGCGGCAGTGCCACGCGTCAGAATGAGTTTGAATCATTAAAACAGCAAAGAAGATGAATGGAGGTCAAACACTCAGGTCACCGCCTCTTAATCATTCCCTCGGAACATAAATCTTTTCAGGAGAAGAAAAAGAAAATAAGATTTTTTTTAAATGTGATTTTTCAGCTGGATAATAAAAACCCAAAAAAAAGAAAAACTTTAGGGATGAGAGAAGATTAAAACAATGATCTTTATTCAAAAGATTCCACAGATATTTTTCATTCTGTCTTATTGTAGCCAAAAACCTTAGTACACAGATTTTAAGTCCCTATTACATAATCAAAGCACGCTTAAAATCTGTTCAAATAACACAGCATATGAAAGGTTGTTTTCATAGCACCAGGGCTCATTTCTGGGGGAAGTGAGCTTCACATGAAGGTAATAAATGGAGTTTCCTTTTTGAAATCCACTCTACGCCGACCTGAGTGGATGACAACCCCTGATAAGGTTAAACAAATACCACAGCCTATCCGCTTCAGCCCACAGAGCTACTGGAACTCAAAAACAGTGCACACACACTTACTGCACACACACACACACACCAAGTGAATCCCAGTGCTGAGCCACCATCTGCCTCCATCTGTAACTGGTTGTATTCGCTGCTGCTTTCTAAAAGCAGTTCTGATATAGGCAACAGTCACTGCAAATCTCTGTTGACATGTTCAAAGTGTGTTTGTGGAATAAAGCAAACAGTAAAATAAAGAGTACCCACACTTAGTATACAACTTAGTTTAGGACTTTTAAGCAAATGAAGATAAGAATCTAAAACTACGTATATTAGCTACACCAGTCAGTATTTTAACTAATGCATTTCTTTTTCTTTTTTTTGAACCTACTTAAGTGGACTGTGATTCATAATAATCCACCTTCTTTTCCCCTTTGAATACCATATATTTTTTGAACTATTTAAGTTTTAGTTGACTGTAAATAATGGGTAATGGTCTTTTTTTTGTATATGGGCGAAAAGTCAAGATATCACCAAACTCATTGAAATAAATCTTCTTGGCACAATGAAAATCGCTACCGATAACATCCAATGGTTGGGAAGATTTTCCAGAAAAAAACAATCACATCAACCCCATCGTGGGGCAAGAGAAAAGGTCAGGGGTCCCCAAAGTCCATAGGTTTCATCTACGTGTGAAAATGAAGGTCTATACAAAATGTTGTGGCAATCATCCAATAATATTTGATATATATTGGTCTGGAAGAAAGTGTTGACCAGCAGACCAATTTTGCTACCAATAGAGCCATGTAACTAGAATGGTTGAAAATGATTAATTTTGTCTTAATGTACTTACTTACTACAATGGCTAAAGAGATCCAGATGTTTTCTTTGTGATACCTTCTTGGTGTAAGTGTTGTAAAACGCTTTCTCAGGAATATTAGCCAGGGCAAAAAAGTGGCAGGAGACACGATGGAAAACATTGAAACGTGACATTTTGTCAGCTGGCAGTCCTACCGATCCCAACCTCTTTATGAACTATCACCTTGTTGAGAAGCACTCTGATTTGGCAATGAGAAAGTCAGAAAAAGGAAGGGAGGGAGGAGGGGCAGAGTTTTCCTCACAAAGCCTGGAGCTGTGACTGTGAGAGAAGACTGTTACGCTATCTTCACACAACCCCCTAGACCGAGGAGGGATTTTATCTCTCGGTCCTCTGGGACTGGAAAAGGCAATAGAAGGTTATTTCCTGAGAAGTCAAGTTAGAGGAAGTGAGGGAAAGAAGAAAAATAGGGGAGAAAGCAGTGGGTGAAAAGGCTTTTTCTGAGTTCCAGCATGGGAAATGAACAGGAGGAAAGGAAACAACCCAAAGCAACAAAAACACAAAGAAACAACAAAACACAAGCCATCGCGGTAACCCTCCGTCCCACCTCTTCACACTGCGGTTTCCACAACAAAAACACCCGTTCGGCTTCTTAGGCGGCTTTGGTCCGGCCTCGGTGAGAGAAATACAGCACATAAAGCATTTGGAGACTTTAATGTCCTGCCTCCTTCATACGCAGCTCTTTCCTTAGTCAAAGCCACACCGAACAAACAGGTATCAAAGGGAAGGTGGGAGGCATCACTTTTGATTGAACAGGAGAGCACAAAGAGAGAAAAAAGCCTTCACAGAGGACCCTGCTCTGGATCTGGGTCAGGCAGGGGTTTTGTCGATCGTCTTCTTAGAGACGCTGGATTCAAAGAGGATAATTCTGTAGTTGATAATTAGTGACGGTGTGGTTTTGATGAAGCTTCACAGATTAGAAGACATGTGCTAACTGGTACAACATTATCAAACCAAACTCCTACAATTTTGTATCTTATTTTATCTGCGTTGGTTTGACCATTGAAATGCTTTTGCTGTCCGTTCTTGTTTATATTTACCAACAAAAAGCTAATATGAAGACTTGTGCAGATGTAAGCTGTAGCCCTTAGCTGAAGCTGTTAGCAGTAGCTAGGTAGCGATAGACGACAGCTTCGATAAAGATTTACCAGAACCTCAAATTTTTTGTTAAAACCTCTGAAAAGTATGGTTATTGGTTATCTTACTATAACAACTTTGGGTAGAGTTCGGTGTTTGATAAGCCGTCAAAGATACAAATCCACACAACAGCTAAGTCTGCTAACGTCTAATATTTTCACACGACTGTTTCCACTTTCACTTGGCTTGCAGTTGCTTTGCCTAAATGCAAACAGTTTGAACCCACTTTTAGAAGTATCCATGTTTTATTCCAGGAGAAAAAACATGTTATGACTAAAAAGATACACTTCAAGTGGGTGAAGGTTTATTCATGGTAAATCTCAATTTGGACTTAATAGGTGGAAGAATATGATACCTCACAGTTTACATATTGCTGTCGATCACTCCTTAACATTATGCAGGGCCAGTTTTTGTAAAGAGTACATGTCCCCCCTTTGATTAGCAAACATGTTGTAAACTCTGGGCCAAAAATACGACCTTACAAATTCCCCCTTGAGGTTTTTTTGTAGATAAAGATTTGATGTAAACTTCTTGTGACTGATTGTGTCACTTGATCTTAGGCTGTAGCCACTTTGTCAAACAAAGCTTATCTTCTATCTTAAAACTGGACAAAGGAATACAGTCAGTGAGAAAAGAACTACAAAACACCGCCATAAATATTGTATAACAGCCATGAGTGCCCCAAAACGGTGACGACATTCACTATCAAAGAACTTATCTATGTTCTCGGGATTTATTTAGTATCGAATTTAACTATGGTTGAAAATGTCACATGGGGAATGATTCTGAAATGCTTGATAAAGAATACCAGGCTATTTTTTGCACCACATTTTAATTTTTTCTGCTGAAGAGCTCAAAGAAATACTCTACAGTTCAGAATATTCCCATGTGGTAGAACTGGTGTAGGCCGAGCGTCTATGAGAATATGTTCCACCACATTCCCCCTTTCCAAATCACCTCACACCTCCCCTCTGCCATATCGAAGCGAGGGTGACTTTGAGCAGGAGATTTACCGTTGCTGGCAGTGGCGGCGAAGAAGATGACAGCGTGCTGTCTCTCTCCTCGTTCATCAGAGAGAAAAATGGACTGGGAGCTGTTGGGCGCGGACAGGACTAAACCATCCATCTCGGGCTGTAATTATGCACCGCCACACGTCTTGTTGTCTTTCTTCCCACTGTGCTGGGACCGCGAGACGGACTGGGTTTACGTTATGGGTCACCTCTTTTTCCAAACACAACATGAACTCCTCCCCTCTGCATAACTGATCGGTCATTAATTAGATAATAGAGGGGGAAAATGGATATGATGGATGTATCTCAGCTCTAATTACCTGGCCCAGTGATATCTATTACAGGGTGAAGTTCATGTCTTGTGCGGGACTGCAAGTAATTATCGATAAACTAGTCAATGGATTCAATATTTAGTGAACAAAATGTTTGGAAAAAGCAAAACAAGTCAAATGTATAATCCCAGAGCACATGTTGACAGCTAATAAATTACTTGTTGTGTCCAAAACCAAAATACATCTCATCTACAATGACATAAAACAAAGGAAAAGCATCACATTCTAACATTTTAGGAGCTGTATCAACCATACTGTATGTTTGACCTTATATCCTTTTAAAGTGACTTTAACTGCTCAAAACTGTTTCTGATGATTGATTAATAAATGTAAGATTTTCTCAATATTTCTTTTTAGTTTGTTGTGTAATAAGTAAGTCTAAGAAAGTCTTAGCTTTGCTTTTTCTTGAAAACATATCCCATAATGTATCCACATTGCTCTCTTGTGACATTTTCCTTTTTGTCTTTGAAAAATTACCTATTTTTATAAGATGCATTGAGGGGCAGTGCACACAAACACCTCCCTTGCCTGGCCCCATATCCCTCATGTATACTGTACTGTATGTGACAAGAGGCTTTAAAGACTCCTCGACGAGCACTTTTTACAAGGCTGAGACACTGCACTGCTTCACGAGGCCTCCGCCTCTGCACACATTGCCTCGTCTGTGGCCCCATTCATCGGTGCAGGCTTACCAGCCATTTATATGTCTTCTGTCACACTTTGGAGGAATTTTCCATATGTTCGATGTGTGATTCTGGAGTTGTCAGTTAACAGAAAAAAGGGACGGAAAGGGTTCTTTTGCACGGCTGCTTTTTTTCACACAAACCCGGCTTATAGTTTGTTTCACGCGAACAATGAGCAGACACCGTGCGGAGGCAGACAAAGGCCCAAGTCAAACTGTATAGGAATTTAAATAGAGCAATCCCATAGGGTCCGCTCTCTGTTTCCCCCCCACTCTGGAGCACAGTGTTTGGAAAGAGGAGAGCCAGAGAAAGAAAACGAGTTAAAATTCTGTCATGCAGTCCTGCTCTGCATCCCACTGTGGAAACATGATTAGATATGTGCCGAAGTCCTTGTGCATACGTTATTGTCTCCCTGTATTATGGCTAATCTTCTTTTTGTCCACTTTTTCCAAGACATAAGAACAATGTAAAATCTGCTGCTTTTTTATTACAGCACTTTTTGCTTTGGATGACTCTTTTGAAATGCGACAAAGATATGTTAAGTTGCCAGGATTGATATCTGAGAAAGATAAGATAAGATTCTCTTTATTTATACCAGTTTGGGAAATCTGATACGAAATTCCAGTTTATTTTTTTGTTTTCTGCAAAATATGTGGATGCACATGCTGCGTAAAGGCATTCATAGGCTTCCATAGCTTTGAGTCATCACCCATTTACACAGAAATTAATGTAGAATCTAATTTCAACCAATAAAATCGAAATTGCCTGTAAAGAGTGCTGTAAATAATCCATTATTCTAACACTATACATGCAATTTGTAACACATATAAGCTACTTGTGCGTGATATACTAATTTACAATATGCAATGAAAAGTGTGAATAAATTATGCAAGCAAACAGAGTTGTTGGTAAAGCAAGAATAAAAAAAAAAAAAACAAAGCCCCTTAGAATATCTCTACGGTCTAATTTCATTGTTTCCAGACAAAACAAACCAAATTTAAAAAAAGATTGGTCCGGCTACCTCCCATGTGCTCACAGCAGGCGAGCGCGAGAATAACAGCAGCAAACCGCGGCCTCCCTGACACGTTTTCTTTTCTTTTTTCATCTTTGAAAATTAAATATTCTCTCTCATCCTTGGTGTGGAGCTATAAGCGCTTCAGGTTGGGAGGGGAGGGGAATCATTTCTTCCTCTCTTTAGGAAACTAGATATATTTAGAAATAGGCACATTAAAGAATAAAACCCCCCACAACTAAAGATGGAGAAAAACAGTAGATTGGAATCCCAGCCCGGATAAGTCACATTAGGAAAAAAAAATAAGAGGGAAGGCTACTTATACTCAGATGGACCGGTTAGTCTTTAAGTGTTGAAATATTTACAGCAATGTCGGTGCAGATGCTTCAATTATGGCTTGCTCTCTCGGAGCCTCTGACAGACTGTTTGTCATCTATATCACCCTCCGAGTAAATCTGTAAATAACTGTTGAGCCAGCTCGTTGAAATCATTTTGAGGTCATGATGCTGATGTGTGTAATGGATACAACCCTGTGTTTTTTTTTGTCCTAAAATGACCGCTAGAGATATTTATTCGCCTTAAGCACATGATTTATTGACTGGTAACAAGCTCAATAAATAAAAAAACACCATCCTGATCTACCTGCAAGGGTCTCACCAGTTCCAAAAAAATAGTTTCTATCATCTTCCAGACTGTCAAATAGTAAAGGTTACTTACTATTCTTATGTCGATAATGAATGACTGCAGGTATTTCTTGTTACTGTTACAGGCATACAGGGAAAAACATGCTATCTGATGTATAACAAAAGAAAAAGAGAAATGAAAGAAAGCATGAAGCACGTGTATGCTATGTGTATTTTGCAGGTCTTGCAGACGTTCTCCACTGTGGACGTCTCTGTCCTCTGGCAGCCCTTATTTGGTTTCTAATAAAACTCCAGCATCTAAAGCGTTGGGGATGACCTATCACATTACATAATTCATGCATGAAGCTTGTGAATAATGAATGTTTCTGCCCCGGTTGACGTGGTGCCAGAGGTGGAACAGCACTGCTCTGTGCCCATCTCTGCAAAGCAAACACTCATGCCACAGGTACTTTTATTATTTTCTCTAGTCCTACATGCTTGGGCCGTGGAGCGCAAACACTAAATAATGAGACATCGACAAGACACCATGCTGTTTTTCATTTATGTCTTGTTGTTTTTCCCCTGTCAAGACTTTTTTTCTATTGAGAAATCATGGGTATGAAATTTGCCTCGCATAAAAAACTGAGTCATCCTTAAATCTGTGCTGCTCTTCCCATCCGACCAACTGTCCATGTTAATGTTTTATCAGGCCTTTTAGGTTCATTCATCACCCTCCTTTGTGTGGCTGCCAATGAGGCATCAGGCCATGGGAACCCAGTGTTTCTAAAGCTGCATGTGCTTTATTAATACACAAAAGCTGACGTGTTTGTGCCCTGAGAACCTACAAGTGAGGAGACCCGCGTTAGAAACATACCGAAGCAGTAGTCTGAGCCACGGTTGGTGTCATTAGAAGCAAAGCAATGGACCCCTAAACTAGCCTGGGGCTGCTCATCAGTACTTGTCACCATGCTGGCTTCATTAGTCACTGTCCAGATGACAGGGGCTCTTGTAAAGGATATCTCACCCCCTGCCGAGAGCCAAGTGTCCTGGCAAATGGGCCGCTGACCTCCAGAGCGTCTCTGGTCTTGCCGATGAGAACAGGCTAAGAGTGAGATGAGTGCGTGCGGACCGCGGGGCGCGGCCGGGGCCAGGGCCTCTCCTTTCTGGTCAATCCCGAGAGCTGACCTGCCCCTGACCTCATCCGTACAATCAAGTTAGTCGACTGGTGACTCCTTCACGCTCTGATGAAATGGCAGATTCCCCCCTAGAAGAAGAGAAAGGGGGGGGAACATTGTCTGGGGACCCCTCTGAAGGAGAGTGGGATACCGAGCAGTGACATGCTAATCCGCTCGGTTGATGATTAGGAGTGGTGGGGGGATGGAATGAAATGATGAGGGGGGAAAAAATAATTCTTGGCAGGTTTTTGATGTCTCTGCCTTTTGATTCGGTCTCTCTGCTGTGCTTTGGAAATGACAGCAGCTCTGTCAGAGTAGAGGTATCCGTCCAATGTGTGGACATGTGATGGGTGATTTTCGCTTTGATGTTGTGGTTCTGCCCTGGATCGTCAGTGAGGCGCGATACACAGTGCGCTTCTTGATGTTCATTTAATGCAATTATTTACAGTATACGCAAATTCACTGACACTGAATTAGAAACACTTTGATGATTGGATAGAATCATCAGCTTGGAGTGGGCGTTAGGATGCTCACTTGTAAATTATAGATCCAATACAGGCTCATTATATGGCCTATTTGCTTTCCTAAGGGATTTTTTTTTTTTATGTCTAAGGTTTGTATATTCTGGAACATGCAATCTTGCATTGAATCAAACAGCAAACCAAATATATGTTTTTAATAGTAGTTTTTTTTCAATGCCAAACAGCAAAGGCCAGACAGATTTCTGAAGAATGATCTGATAATAAAGTGAAATAAATCTGGCTAATATGATAGTTAATTGGAAGTAGGAACAGTTATACTCAATACAAGAATGGATTCTAGAAACAAACGATTGAAAGTGTCAAGTAGCAAACATATTGATGAGGAAAATGAGGTATGTTGTCTTTCGAAATGGACACATTCAGAAAAGGTGTTTGTTTAAATTCCTCCACTGTCTTTGTTGAGAGACATATCAAACTTCAGGTTGAACAGACCAATTACAGCTCAATCTGTTACAATCTGCACAATGAGAAAAGCGATTGGACAGAAGGGGACCAAATTTCTAGAAACTAGACTCCAAGTCACAGAAAATGTTGTAGACATTGTCAAACTACTTTAAAAACCAAATAATCTAATGACTATGGTAAAGGGGTTGCTTTTTCTGAAGACCTCACAGAGAATGATCACCTGACTCACACGTTTTATTAGATTCAAACTGTAATCAAAACATTTCCATAACCTCGACCAGATCTTGCTTTTGTTGCCGGACCATAACCAAAGGTTCATGTCCAGCGTATCCAACCTTGGATT